TCGATATTTGTTTCGAAACAAATATCGATTACTAGCACGTACACCCAGCTTGGCTCAACAGCTCCTTTATTGTACTAATTTGAATACGAGCCTCTAAAAACTGTCTAGGTTTAAATTTAATTTTGTTTAGTTTACACAATATGATTCCTTTAATTATTTTTTATTCTTCTAATTATTCTATATAAAAGTATTAAGATAAAGTTATCAAAAAATTAATGATATTTTATATTTTATCATGCCATATTTTGACATAGAATATAAAATATCTGCTAAACTAAACTTAATTTTTTGATAATTGTACCTTAATACTTTTATGTATAGAATAATGAAATTAATCGATTGATGTAACAAGCTTTAGAACGTTCTAAAGTTTAAAAGCATTTCATTGTTTGCTGATTAATATGTATAAGTCGCGAGCAAATTAATTGGCACATTATTTCTTCCGAAACAATTTACAAATCGATAAATTATAATAACGCATGTATCGTGTATTACGAGATCGCGTTTTTATACATCGTAATCCGATTAAATATTTTGATGCTATATTTACTCTCCTATAGGAAAGAAAGGGTTATATCGCACAGCCAAGCTCGGGGCAGTGCTCCAATTTATTGATTCCCTTCGGTCGTAACATTTATCGATCGAAAAGCGCACATTAGGTCTCCCATACGAGCAAACCTCCGAATAGAATGTCAAGCGACTTATTTTTTTCCATCGACGTACCGTTTGTAGAATATCACGATAGCAGCATGATTCATTTATATACAAGTTAATATTGCATACAATATTTCGCATATCTGCACACTTTGAGAAAAATTATGAGAAATAAGAGAATCACGTGATTCTTTGAAAAAAATTATAGAAACCACCTGTACCTTCTAGCTTCTAAAAAGATAACTGAAGAAAAGATGCAAGTACTTGAAATTGATGAAAAGTATTGAGATATCACGAATGTCTACATGCAGTATAATACTGACGCATCAAGTAGAAATTAATTGCGACTATAGTACTATTTTGATAATAAATAATGGAAAAAACAAATGTTTGTTTCTTTTTTCTTTAAAAAAAACGATTAATTACACTCTACGTGCACGAACATGAAGCACGGGATTACTGCAATTAAACTTCTTTCCTCTTTTCTCTATTTTAAATGCTTCTTACAGACGCTTATGAGATATATAACGTATATATCTTAACGTGTATCATCTTTATTACATAACAACACACGCGCTATTTATTTCGTGATATTATACAAATTAATATAATGATATTATAATACTTGATATTAATACAAAGTAATTATAATTTAGTTATAATATTATAAATTATGAAAAATTTATGAATAATCTATAAATTTTTCCATAAGAGGTAGATTGTTTATGAACTCGAATAATTTTAATTGGATTTGTGTTATCTGTAACTTATACAATGGCGTACGGAGATTAATTAGAATTAATTAGATTTGTGTTATCTGTAACTTTTACAATGACGTACGGAGTCAAAAGTTTTCTTTGAATTAAACATGTGTAATCAAAGTTTCGAAACGATAACTATACAAATAATATAGATGAATCATTTTTGAGACAACAATTCACGTCGAGTATAAAAGAATTAATCATTAAATTATATTGACAAATTAAATTTGAGGAGAAATTGAATTATTATTGAATTTAAATTGGAGGAAAGTGTTGCGATTATGACATGCATCTACGCTCTATCGAGGGACACTGATTTGACAGTGCGGTGCCCTTGCAACGTGTGTTCGTCGACGCGTTCGATCAATTTACACTTTATATGTAAAAGGAGGAAGTCAGTTATAGACCTGTTGTTAACTCACGGTCTACGTAACACGTACGTATCAATCGAAACGGACAGCAGTCCAATGACCGTTCCCTGTCGTTTCTATGAATAGTGGAATCGATATAGGGTTCACGAACTCTCGCATAGGCAAAGGCAAGTTCTCGGATGAGAACGGCACGGGGTTAAGCTTGTGTTCGGAAGGTGAAGGATCATACTGACGTTTGCCGCAGAAAAAGAACAGAAAGAAATTAACAGATATGATTTCCGGAGATTTGTTTTGTAAATGACAGCGTCCACTCTCCACTCGCGATACCTTCGATCAGTTACGTGGGAAGATATAAGTTCATTAGAATATTGAAAAAATTTAAATAAATTCTTTATTTTTAAATTGATTGGATCTAAAAGAATGATAATATGTGTACGTGCGATGCGTATAATATATACGTACACATATTGCTTAGTATAAAACGAATTTTAATTATAACTTACACGAAAGGTATATTAATTATAGAAAATAAAGAAATTTAACTGTACATTAAATAATGAAAATATAATCGCAAAAATGACAACGTTATTGCGATAAAACTGCTTTCATTTTTCATTGCATGATACAATTATAGTTTTATATTATTTATAAAATTAGCTTTAGTAATAAAAATTATATGTATTTGCTTCAAAAAATTTTTAATTTTAAAGATTATTAAACTATATTAATCCAATTTTTTTAAACACAAAACAAATAGATAATTGATTAAGATATAAATTATTATATATCATTACATTAAGATTATTAATTTTAAAATTTGCTTTATAAAAAGAAATAATTATTTATAAAGTAATTCCATTAAATACTGTCACATTATTACATTAAATATAGTATCGTATTAACAATAGTTTATTTATATCAATAAATCAAATTTTTCTATAGAATATATTCGTTACATATGTATTTCCATTTGTTAAATTCTTATTAAAATTTCTTTACAAAGTATAAATTTAATAAATATAAATAAAAATGATACCTGAAGAGCGTGACCTATCAGTTGGTTAGAGCGTCGTGCTAATATAATGCGAAGGTGGGTTTCAACTCTTGATCGTGGGCCAAGCAATCTTTTTTAGCAAAATATTTAAACCAAGTGCCTATCCTTTTCGTAAGTAAATCATAAAGTTAAGGTAAACATACCAGTGCAGGCTGAATATGTATCTATATCTGAACACATACATAAAATTTATATTAATCTCAAATACTTTCTTTATTATAATATCAAAATTTAATTGTAAAAATATTTAAAGATTACAATTAAATTATAATATTATGAAAAAAATCATTTAAAAATAAATTTTTGTGTACTTGTTCAGCTATACATATACATATAGATACACGTTCAGTCACTGATACGTTTATCTTACTGATAGCACTGTCGAAAGAACTTATCATCGAAGCGGACCGTTAGCTCAGTCGGTCAGAGCGTCGCTCTACATAATTTGACGAAGGTCGGTCTTTGATGGTCGGGGTTTGATCTCCTCACGATCCAAGCTATTTCTTTTTGTTAAAACATTTTTGTAAATAAATCGCAAAGTTATATTAAAAACACTATCGAAAAGACTTATCATCGAAGCGGACCGTTAGCTCGGTTGGTTAGAGCGTCGCACTATATTATAATTTGGCGAAGGTCGAGGTTTCGATCCTCTCACGGTTCAAATTATTTGTTTTTAGCAAAACATTTTTGTAAGTAGATTGCAAAGTTATACTGAAAACATTGTCGAAAAGACACATCATCGAAGCGGATCGTTAGCTCAGTTGGTCAGAGCGTCGCTCTATTGGCTGCGAAGGTCGCGGGTTCGATCCCCTCACGATCCAAGTTACTTTTTTTGCAAAATACGTAGAACGTGTACTATCATTTTTGTAAGTTAATTGCAAAGTGATATAAAAAGCACTGAAAGCACTATTAAAAAGAGGACGTTATCGAAGAGGATCATTAACTCAATTGATAAGAGCGTTGTTCTTTATTATATGGCGAAGGTCGGGTTCAATGCCCTCATGATCGAAATTATTTCTCTTTAATAAAATACCCATGTATAACAAGTGTTATCATTTTTATAAATAAATTGTAAAGTTATATGGAAAACATCGTTTAATAAACAGACCTCCGAAGAGGCCTATTAGCTCAGTTGGTTAGAGCGTCGTGCTAATAACGCGAAGGTCGTGGGTTCGATCCCCCCATGGGCCAATTTTTTTAAATTTATGAAGCATTATTATATTGTAAAGAGTAAATTACAGATATTTAAGATATCCCAATAATTTATAAAATTTTTACAATTTTAAATGTAGCGGTAGATTTAATATAATAAGGATTGATAATATCGAAAATAAAAGCAGTGAAGATATAATTATAAATCTAGTACAGTTATTAATGTAATTTTAACTAATTTTTTTAAATATCTTCTTCTATAGTAAAAAATATTTAATTTGTTGTATATGTTCTCTAATTGTCTTGCTGTTTTTAAGTGAAAAAGTTCGAAAATTTTCAATAATATAATTAAATATCGTTTTCTCTTGCATTTATCTATTCTTGATTAGTTAGAATAATTGTCAAGTAATCGGTATATTACCGACAACAGTTAATATAATACATTATAAGTTAGAAGCGAAAAAGCCGATAAAAAGAATTTCTCATATTTGAAAATTCAAGCATCGTTCTTGGATATCATTGTTAAACATATTAAGTTTATATCGTCATTTGTAAGTGAAATTTTATTGGGTCTTCATATTGTAATTTAGGATTAAAATTGATGATTAAATTTTACGTATACAATAATAAATGCCATTTGCGTGTTTTCGAGATCAATGCGTGAGGCAAATGTTGATAGAGGCATTGGAACCTTACGAGTTACGAGTCGGTAAAATAGAATGAAAGAAATTCGCTCTTTTCGTTCGCCACCTGCGGATACGAAGTCACCGATGGGCCGTTGGTGGGGGTGAAGGGGTATATGATACCCGGGCAGCCACCTGTCGCGCGCATGCGCAGGCCGCGCGTCGCGCAGGACACCTTGCCGCCCGCGACGGAACAACCGTCAGTGTAAATCAAAATGGCGAGTGCGATGACGGTTCGCGGCCAGTGTTGTTATGCGAGTCACCTTTTCGCGCATGCGCACTGCAGCGCTAACGAAACCCAGTAATGGATACGAGTATACGACAGAGTGGTCAGTGGAAACGAGAGGCCCCTTGTTTATCAACTCTAGTATGTAACTTTATATTACATTGTATTAATCTCGTTATTTTTCAATTAATTCCTTTTTTAAAATAATTTCGTTTATATATTATATAGATCGGAAGAGCACACG